ATTCTTTCAAAAAATTGGGACTTTTTAAAAACGCCGCGGAACATGGGAAAAATTGTTAAAAATTGGGACTGTCCCGCCAAAAGCGGGCATCTGGTCACCTTAATCTAGAGTCTTTGATACATCCTCCTTAGAGGGTCCAATCAGCATAATGTCATCAATATAATGGACCAGTGTGACATTTTGTGGAATAGATAAGTGATCAAGATCCCTTCGGATTAAATTATGACACAGGGCAGAAGAGTTGATGTACCCCTGGGAGGGAGTTGTGAAAGTATATTGTTGCCGCTGCCAGGTGATGGCAAACTGCTTCTGGTGGTCCTTCGAGACTGGTAATGAGAAGAAGGCATTATCCAGATCAATAGCTGCATATCAAGTACCAGGAGAAGTATTAATTTGCTTAAGCAATGAAATCACATCTGTAACGGCAACTGCAATTGGAGTCACCACAGGGAAAAAATGAGCCAGTCAGGGAACAGTATAGCACTGATGAAACACACAACTTTCCTCTAGTTCTTTGGTGCTTCCTTCCCCCCACTATCATGACCTCAATTCTACCTTACAAATCAGATTAGACAAGGACATGCACACTGTTACAGACAAGAGCCCGCAGCACAGGGAATCCAGGATAGATAAACCAACCCCTCATGGTCAACAATGAGTAGAGATATCAGGAGGATTATGGGAGAAAGGGAGAATCGATCACAAGGATCAACCTATAAACCCCTCTCAGGGGGAAGAACAACAGAAAAAATGGGTGAGGGGTGATGGAGGACAATGTAAGATATGAAAATAATAATCTATAACTTATCAAGGGTTCGTGTAGGAGGGAGGGGGAAGAAATGGGAAGCTGATATCAGGGGCTCAAGTAGAAGAGAATGCTTTTAAAATGATGATGGCAGCGTATGTGCAAATGTGCTTGATACACTGTATGAATGTATGGATTGTGATGAGATGTAAAAAACCTCCAATAAAAGTATTTAATAAAAAAGAAAGAAAACCTGAAGAAGGATGTTGATGGAAATATATAAAATGGGTTTTATAAATTATATATTCATAAAGGAATCACTAAATACATTTTTAAAAGTGATTATAAACAAGCTGGAGGAGCTGACAGTAACCTATTGTGTGCCTTATTTCCATTATAGCTGCCTCTATGACAGAGTAGAAGCGCCCCAGGGGGGTTCTTAGGCTGTATGTTTTATGAGAGCAGATCGGCAGGGCTTTTCTCCAACAGAGTGACTAATGGGTTTAAGCGGTCCATCTTTCCTCCTGATATCTCTACTCATTGTTGACCATCTAAAAGCTGAGTGTGTAATTATTGCTCTCTATAGTAACATACCTAGGAAACAAGCAGTGAGAATCACAAGGGAATACACATGAAAGGTCACAATATACAATCAACAGTCACTTCAGACTGATAGAGTGAAGGGGGAGTAAAAAGTGGCGGGCGTGTAAGGAGAGGCAAGGAATCAAGTTCAAGTCTATGCCTTCAATGAATGGGTGGATCATGGTACCATTTACTGAACTTGGGAATACTGGATAGGCAGGTTTAATGGGGAGGAATTAAGTAAGAACAAAGATGAGCCAGAGGGAATGTCCAAGTACAGAAAGTTCAGAGCTGGATAAGGATAAAAAGATTGAAGTCTCAGGAGAGAAATCTGGGTTGGTGATAGATTTGGGAAACACCATCATATATTAGACTGAACGTGTAGAATTTCCATTTGTGTAGTTCCAAAGTGGCTGAACGTTGGCAAAATTTCATCCAGTGCAACCTAGCAGGCAGAAATGGTAGGCTTTCAGTCAGGAGTGGTAGCCCCAAAGAGACTAGAAGGAATGGCACGAGAGGTCAAAGGAAGCCAAAAAGGCAATTTAAAAAAATTTAACAGGTGTTTAAATTAACCTACTTCAAGAGGTACGCTGATGCTGATTTCCATAGGATCAGAGCCCTAACCCGCAGAAGCACCAGGATATCATGTTAATGATGCTCCCAAAGGCTGGGTAAAGCACTGGCTCAGACCTATAGACCTACAACCAAAAGTCTCTGTAACCCTGCTTGTAGGAGATTCAAATGACCACAGGTGCTCACGCACGGCCATTCAGTCATAGCAGGCCTACATAGGATTACTGAGGCGGCAAATCATTATGGAAGCAGATAACCTCATCTTTCTGGTTGGTGGGCTTGAACTGTCAACCTTGTACTCAGCTGTTCATGGCTTATCCAACAGCACTAGCAGAACTCCTTACAGGAGTACACTTAAATTCTGGCAGCAGACCTAAAACCCAAGGAAGGAGAAAGGGAACTTAAAATTAGTTTAAAGAAAGGGGGTGGGGTGGATAGTGGAAGAGTAGCAGAACCAATGCTCCTGGATAATATTCAATGGACCACTGATAAAATATCTCATGGACATGTGAAAAAGTAAATTAAATCAAGCATGTGTTGTGTAAGCATTTGGCCAAGTTTTAAACACTACACACATGTGAACAACTATTATTACTATAAGGAGTCCCGGGGGCACTGTGAGTTAAGCATTGGGCTGTGAGCCTAAGTTCAAACCCACCAGCCACTCAGCAGGAGAGAGAAGAAGTTGTCTGTTCTCAAAAGTTTACAGCCTCAGAATCCCTAAGCTGCAGTTCTGTTCTACTCTGTCCCCAAAGAGTTGCTATGAGTCAAAATCTACTGGATGGACCGCAGGGGGTATAGGCTCCCCACTATAGGCTCCCTGCTCATCTGCCAAGGCTTTGGGCTGTTTCCATAAAGACTAGAGAAAATGACCCTATGGGTTTAATTATCCTCATTTTATAGTGCTTCTACATCCTTTCATGGGCAGAGTTGGTATTCTTGATTCAGAGGCCCCGATACAAGGTTGAAGTATGTGAAATTCCTCTTCAAAAAAAAAAAAAAGAAAAAGTCAAATGACAATTTCACATGGTTCAACCTAAAACTAACAAAGATGTGCACAGCGTGTACAATATGGCCAGCTGAATTTAGAACCCAGATCTTGGATTCCTGCCCAGTTTAGGCCCCTTCTCTTTACTAATTGGAGACAGTGGATTAACCCTTGAAAAGGACTCATACTGATTTCCTTATTCAAAAAGTGGTACATCATGACTTCCTTACTTGGAAGCAAGAAACCAAAGGACCAGATCTTCCAAGCTGGGGCTGCTTTTTATGACCACAACAGTCCTGTTCTGCAGGACTGTTCTATAGTCAGAGCTGCCCCACCGGGTCTTCAGAATACCATCACTGAAGGCAGGGAGGCAAAGAAACCTGTAAGCGCATTCTCCCTGAAACCAGCATGGTGGAAGAACTCGTTTGCAAAGAATCCTACATCTCCACGGAGCTCTGGTTGCAAGCGTTGGGCTGTAACTGCAAGCCCCAGCGTCCAAACCCCCCAGCTGCTCTGCAGGAGACAAAAGAAACCCTATGGCACAGTTCTACTCTGTCCGACAGAGTCAGTCAGGATCGACTAGACAGCAGTGGGCACCAGATACCAAAAAGCATGTCCCATAAATATTTCATTTGATCTTCCCACAATCTCATTTTACACCTACAGGGTCAGAGGTTCGGGCTCATTACATTTCTTGCCCAAAGTGACACCACTATTAAGTGGTCAAATAAAAACTCAAACTCACTGCCTTGGAGTCAAAGTTGACGCAGCGACCCCCTGTTACTGTTCACGGAAGTAGAACGCCCAGTCTTTCTCCCGCGGAGCTGTTGGTGGTTTCAAACTACCCACCAGGCAGATGGCAGCGCAAGGCGTGAACCACTGCTGCTCCAGTGGTAGCGCCGGTCAATACAGAAAACAGACAGCGGTGCAACTCTAACGCCTTTACGTCCAGCGACCTTCCGGTCGGGAAGTTTCCCCGTCACGGAGTCCCATCGACTCGACGGCAGTGGTGGTATTTTGGTTAGGGTTGGCGGGAGTGGATACCTCGTGTCGAAAAAGAACCTGTGGCCAGAAGAGAGGAAACCACGCGAGTTGCCCAAGGTCGCCACGACTCGCCAGTGACAAAACAAGGGTCCCTTGTTTAACTCCTGGTTTGCAAAGTGTAGCAGTCACCCCAGTTCCAGTTACTGTCGGGTGTGGGGTGAGAGAAATAACGGGAGGATGGGGGGAAAAGAGAAAGGGAACTGCCACACGTGTGCATTGCGCCAGCGAAAGCGGCGCCCTCGCAGCAGCCCAGGCGGGACCCGGCGCCGGGGGCCCGCCCGCTGGGCTCGGCACCAGCCGGCGAGCGGGGCGGGCGGCCTAGCGGACGGTCTTCCGACGCCCCGTCCTGGCCGCACCTGCAGCCCCTCAGGGGTTACCTCCTTCCACCCGCGCCCTCTCCCCCCCGACGAACCCCGCTCCCTTTGCCTCACCCTGACTGTGCGGCGGCCACTATTGTATCCCCCTCGATATCCACATCCGCCTCTTCCGCTGCCATGATGCGGCCAGACCCGGTCCGGTCCTCCGTAAAGATCTCGCGAGAGGTGGCGAGCTGCGGGCGGGGCCGGAAGCGTCACGGGAAGGAGGGGAAGCCGGGTCCAGCCCCTCCTAGGCAGGAGGCGGGGCTTGCGGGGGAAGAAGTTAGGGTTCGCTGCCTTTTGTAAATCGCCTGGAGTAGGGCCAGGGGCCTGGGCTTTGAGGAACTTGCAGGTAGGTCTTTTGCACAGATTCTACTGCTCTTACTTGTAAAGTGGTGATCATAGCAAATCTCTTTTTAGACTGCTGCGAAGTCAGGCCACACTTTGGAAACTAGGAAGTTGGCAGCTCTTCAAAACAAAAACGCACTGCCCCTTGTCTCTTCCCTCACAGAGCCTTTCAGTCCGGGTGAAGCTGCGCCTGTGCGTTTCTGAGACTGGAAATTGTTCCAGCAGCAGAGAGCTTCATCGTTCTCCAGCAGAGCAGCTGGTGTTTTTGAAAAGCCAAGCTTGTGTTTAGCAGTAATGGGTATCTTACTATTACTCCAAACTTCTTGTTAGGTGCCATCGATTCCGTTCCTACGCATAGCAACCTTATGCACAACCGAAGGAAACACTGCCTGGTCGGGTGCCATCCTCACAATTGTTCCTATGCTGTGCCCACTGTTGCAGCCACTGGGTCAATCTATCTAGTTGAGGGCTTTCCTCCTTTCCCCTTACCCTTCTGCTTAACCAAGAATGATGTCCTTCTCCAGGGACTGGTCTTTCCTGACCACAGGTCCAAAGTATGTAAGACAAACTCTCGCCATGCTTGCCTCTAAGGAGCACTCTAGCCACACTTCTTCTAAGACGGATAAGTTTGTCCTTTCGAGCCGGCCAGGGTGCAGTACAGCACTGACGAAACTCAACATTCCTCTTGTCCTTTATTGCTTCCTCCTCCCCACCCCCTATCACGACCCCAGTTCTACCTTACAAATCTGGATACACCAGAGCAAGTACATTAGTATAGATAAAAGCTCCTGCTTGACATGCAGAATCCAGGACAGATAAACCCCTCAGGACCAGTAATGAAAGTAGTGATACCATGAGGGTAGGAGAAAGGGGAAAGCAGAAGGAGGAGAAAGGTGGAACCCATCGCAATGATCCATGTACAACCCCCATCCCCACGGGGGTGAACAACAGAAATATGGGTGAAGGGAGACAGTAGACAGTGTAAAATATAAATAATTTATGAATTATCAAGGGTTCACAAGGGTGGAGGTGAGGAGGAGGGAAGAAAAGCTGATACCAAGCACTCAAGTAGAAAGAAAATGTTTTAGAAATGATAGCAACATATGTACAAATGTGCTGATACACTGATGTATGAATTGTTATTAGAGCTGTAAAAGCCCCCAATAAAATGATTTATTAAATTTTTTATTTGTCCTTTTAGCAGTCCATGGTACTTCCAATATTCTTCTCTGGCATCAAAATTCAAATGCATTAGTTCTTTTGTCTTCCTATGCAATGTCCAGGTTTCATGCATATGATGCAATGAAGAATGCCATGACTTGGGTCAGGCTCACGTTAGTCTTTAGAGTAACATCCTTGCTCTTCAATACCCTAAAGAGGTCTTGCGTGGCAGATTTACCCACTGTAAAGTGTCATTTGATTTCTTGACTGCTGTTTCCATGAGTCTTGATGCGGATCCAAGCAAAACAAAATCTTTGACATCTTCAATCTTTCCTGCATTTATCATGATGTCATCTATTGGGCCAGTTGTGAGGTTTCTGATCTTTACATTGAGTTATAATCCATACTGTACTCTGCAGTCCTTGATCTTCATCATAAGTGCCGCAAGCCATCCTCACTTTCATGTACTATCTGCATACTGCAGGTTGTTAATAAGCCTGCCTCCAATTCTGGTTTATTCTTCACTGAATCCAGCTTCTCTGATGATTTGCTCAGCATACAAATTAAATAAGTAAGGTTATCTGCTGATTATTTCAATTTTCTCTTAAAAAATGATAGGAGAAGCTTTGTTAAACACTTACTGGAAGTGCTGAATTACTTCTATTTTAAAATTCACTGAACATTTATAAAATATTGTGGTTCCATATTTTACGTTTTAGAGATTTTTAGAATTAGGGGGAACAAGCTCTCGTGACTATGAATACTGATAATAACCCAATGTGGTAGGCATGCTTTGTGAAGAAGCCAGATAAGACCTCAGAAAGGTGAAATGCTTGCCCAAGGACACACAGAGCTGAGAATAGAACCCAGGTCTTTACTAGGAGCTTACTCTGTACAATCACGCTGTTAGGAGCGGTGAAAGTTAAAGACCATTTCCATCAAAGAAGTTATGACCGCTCAAGAAGGTAGATATTGAGCTGACATCACCGATGAGAGGCGGGATGGCCGAGGTCCCACGTGCAGCATAGTGGGCTGCTCCACGCCGATTCCGGACTCCATTTGCTCTCCAGGCACCAGTGCTTTTCCCTGGTGCCTGCTCGCTGCCTGTCTAGAGCAGATGACTGACGGTCTCAGAGACCACTCGTGGGAACACCAGCTCGCAGCCCAGATGTACCCATATGCTCTTCTCCCTCTCTAGAAGAGAAGAAGGCTTTGAATGTGCAGTAGCCAATGAGACACCGGAGTAACGCAATGGATCCTCATAGCTGCCCACCCACATGTTGTCTCATCCTGCTCAACTTCCTCCTGCTCTTGGCCTGAACATGCCCTTTCTCTGCTGGGGTCAGACACTTACGGACTTCTCTGGTTGGGGACCAGAGGCGGGCTGAGCTGACTGAGTTGACACAGGCCTGGAGGCACCAGCCTTTTTTGTGTGTGTTCTTCAGAAGAAAGTGCTCAGGAAAATAAAAGATACTCAAATTGTCCAAGATCATTTGAGATGTACATCTATTGTGCATCTACTATACAAACTTCATTTGGCTCACTCTGGATTTTTAAAGCAAATTTAAATTTCAGTCCTGAACATATCATAGGATTCCAAAATTGAAATATTGAACTATTTTGACGTTAATAAATAAATCTATGTTTAAAAAAAGAAGGTAGATATTAACATATGCATTTCTATCTTTACAACCTATCACTCACATAATTTTATTTCCTCGGGGGTTCTTACAACTCTTATTATAATCCATACATATATCCATTGTGTCAAGCACATTTGTACATATGTTGTCATCATTTTCAAAGCATTTTCTTTCTACTTGAGCCCTTGGTATCAGCTCCTCATTTTTTTCTTTCTTCCCCCACCCTCCTTCCCTCCCTCCCTCATGAACCCTTGATAATTTATAAATTTTTTTTCATGTCTTATACTAACTGCTGTCTCCCTTCACTCACTTTTCTGTTGTCCGTCAATCATTGTGATCAGTTCTCCCTTACTCCCCCCACCTTCCCCTTATCCTCCTGGTACAGATACTCTCATTATTGGTCTTGAGGGGTTTCTCTGTTCTGGATTCCCTGGGTTTCGAGCTCTTATCTGTACCAGTGTACATGCTCTGGTTGAGCAGGATTTGTAAGGTAGAATTGAGATCATGATAGTGGGGGGGGGGTGGCGGGGAGGAGCACTAAAGAACTAGAGGAAAATTGTTTCATTGGTGCTACACTGCGCCCTGACTGGCTTATCTCTTCCTTGTTACCCTTCTGAAAGGAGATGTCCAATTGACTACAGATGAGCTTTCTCTCTCCACTCTGCTCTCCCCGTCATTTACATCATATGATTTTTTGTTTTGTTTTGTATTGGGTTTTTTGATGCCTGATACCTCATATCATCAGCACCTCATAATCACACAAGATGGTGTGCTTCGTCCATGTGGGCTTTGTTGCTTCTGAGCTAGATGGCCACTTGTTTATCTTCAAGCTTTTAAGAGCCCAGATAGTATATCCTTTGATAGCTGGGCACCATCAGCTTTCTTCACCACACCTGCTTACGCACCCATTTTGTCTTCAGTGATCGTATCAGGAAAGGTGAGCATCACAAAGTTCTGGGTTAGTAGAACAAAGTGTTCTTGTGTTGAGGGAATACTTGAGTGGAGGCCCAATGTCTCTGCTGCCTTAATACTTATGTGTACATAGATCTTTCCCCTATCATTGTATATAAATGTATTTACATATATACATGCCTGTATTTAGACCTTTTTAAATGTCCTTTGCCTCCTAGTTCTTTCCTCCATTTCCTTTTTCTTTCCTCTTGTCCCACTATCATGTTCTGCATTCAGGTTTCAGTCATTCCTCTTGGCTACATTGCCCTTGATCAAGTGCCCCCAGGCATCCCATCTATTTTAGATCTCTTATTCTTCCCTCACTCACATAGTTTTAATTGGTAGTTTTCTTGCCTACCTTTCCATTGAGATGTGAATATTCTAAGAACAAAGACTGTATTTGTCAGTGCTTACACTGTGTCCCACAGAAACTCATGAAACGTTAAGGAAATGTCTCATGGGCACTATTCAGTCCCAAATTGAAGGTCAAGCAGAGACAAGACAAATGCAGGGTCCAGAGTCAGAAGCCCAAATGTCCAAAAATCACAGCAGATCTTCTTGGTTCAACCAACATTCAGTCAGGCAATAGAAGTATGGGTTCGATGGAGGTGTGGTTTTTATCTTTTTATAAGCCATACATCCATTGGTACCCCCTTGCTGATGAAGATCAATGGTGGTAGTCTTCAGTATGGATTAGGAAAGTATGTACAGAAAACAAAAATCCTCACAATGGGACCAATACATAACATTTTGATAAATGGAGAAAAGATGGAGGTTGTCAGGGATTTGAACTTGCTTGAATCCACAATCAATGCTCATGAAACTAGAGATCAAATGATGCACTGACGCATTGGATAAATATACTGCACAAGACCTCTTCAGCATATTGAAAAGCAAGCATGTTACTTTGAGGACTTCGGTGCACCTGACCCAAGCCATGGTATTTTCAACCACCTCATATGCATGTGAAGGCTAAGCATTGAGTAAGGAAAAATGAAGAAGAAATCAATGCATTTGAGTTATGATGCTGGTGAATAATATTGAAAGTGCC